ACAATGGTTTCCTTGTGTGTTTATTGTCAAAGTGGTGAGAGGCATCCGATATCTTGAAGGCTTTTCTTTCAGCCAAGAATTCCTAACTATGTGGAGTTCACCTTGAATTGTAAGGAAAGATTAATTACAAACAGAGCATCCTTTTCTACTCCGATATCAGAGGAAGCGTGGTGGACATGCACAGCTAACATGGAAGTACTATCATTTAACTGAAGTCTTTGTACAGACAACAAACCCGTTTCCGCAGCCACTATTGTTAGTCTCTTGATTCATAATGACTTAAGCACACTTGACATCAACTGCATCAAGATGTGACCTGTTTTATAAAAAAAGAGAAAAAAACATTTAAAATAAAAAAATATTTTTAGGTATTTTCACAGACAAACTGGCTTTTAAATAAATTTGCTTCCATACTGGTTCGTTAAGACAAAAACAAAAACAAAAACAAAACAAAACAAAAAAAAAGTCAAACTGAGTGGGAAGTGATGGAGAAAAGGTCCATGGTATCAGTTCCATATTTTTCAAAGCCAAATATGTAAATGATGAGGAAGGAAACAGAGGAGACTCCAGTCTTGTAATTTAATATTGTTATTAAAACTTTAATGTATCCTATTCTTTAACATTTGGTGTTAATATGAAACTACTTGGCGATGCTTGACATTTGAAATAAACATTTTTTCTATTGTTTTATTTGCAAGTGGTCCAATTAATTTTGCTTGGCTACAGTTTGGTCATAAATCCAGTGATCTAAAGACACTAATGCATAGTCGTTAGGATCCCTAAAAAAAGGCCCCCAGTTAAAAGACAGGAATATTTTTCTTTGACAAGTAGAATTTCTTCCAAATAGTATATCTAAAAGTATTTTTTTGTATACATCTTGCTATATAATAGTAAAATATTTGTTATTTAAGAAGCATTTAATCTATATAGATAAATGCTTATAGATTTAAAAATCAGATTTATTATCAAATGTCAGAATGGGTGATTTTCTGCTCTTGAGGTATTTAAGGTTATGTAGGAGCAGTAATCATTGTATATAAAGTCAGAAATGGCTTGAAGGTAGCTGTTCAGATACTTGTACACTGGCCAAATTCTATAATCTAAGTATATATTTTTAGTTTTAAAATTATAAGAACTGACATCAGTTTTTGAGTACTTTAGTCACCTACAAATAGTTTCTTTCCATTTCTACCTATAAAATCAACTCTAGTATATTAATTCTTATTTATGCCTCAAGTAGAAGGGGCATTTTAATTTGTATAATGTAGATAGTGTCCCATCTCTGTAGCTTTTCACTGAAGAGATTATACTACACTATTTGACTAATTTAGGCCGTCTATCTTCCCTCCATTAAAATGCCTTTTATTTTTATTTCCACTAATGTGCTCCAAATAAAATTACTTTAGGGTCAAAAGCTACTGACACCCAGTAGTTATTTTTAAGATTTATATGTTATTTTTTTTCATAAAAATTCTGTGTAATATTTGATGTCTGACCAAGTGCTTGGTAGAACATCCTTATTAACTATTTTTAGAGATCAGAAATGTAAGATTAAACAGTAGCCACTTGCACTCTACATGGTAACATGTAGTTTTATGATGATCTTCACTAAATTTTACCATCCTTTCTATAAATTCCAAGAGCATTCAAAATAATTTGATTTCATTACTCATCAGTGATGCTGGAGGTACATTTTAAGTTTTAATAATGAACGCTAGAATGACCAAATTGCAGACTAATTATTTCCATATTGTACGTAAAATGAGTTTTTAAAAATTATTTTGAAAAAGATGACTATATACAATCAATGCTATTTATTGTACCTCTGGGCCTACTCTTCCAAAAATTGAGCTTATCAATTTTTCTCTGTCAAGCTTGAACTAATGTAAATAATTGAAATAATGTAAAGTTATATTTTCATGTTTTTATAGCTATGACATGACAAGAACACATATTGTAAGAGTATCTCCAGTGTGGATAATGTTGATTGGCTAACACAGAGCTCAGTTTTAGGCAGTAAAACTTAGTTCAATATCCATGTAACAATGCATCAGTATATTGCTGTATAGATGTGTCTGTGTGCATAAAATTGATAAGTGCTCAAATAAGAGTGGTGACAGCTCTCTCACGGTTTTTTTTTAATTCATTTTATATAAACTGTTATGGAAAGACCAAAATAACTATGAACTATTCTTATGTAAATTTACAATTGTCCTTTACTGTACATTTTGTTTACAGTATAGTATCTTATTCTCTGCTGTGTTAAGTGGGTGTAGTACTCCAAGGAGAAAAACACTTTCTACAACTTCTATTGAAGATACTGGAATTTCCAATTTTTCATGTGTACTATGTCTGAAAATGCTTTTGATTTTATTTTTAAATCTAACATCTGATGGCTTTTTCAGAGTGTTGTGAAAACTTCAGTCATACATAAAATATGTTCTTATAAAACGCCAACATCTTTTTATTTTGTTTTTACTTAACGGTGCATCAATCTAATAATGAGAAACCAAAAAGTGTATCTTATATTCTCCCCAAATAAATCTAGATGTTTTTAGTGAAGTAGGGCATCTCTGTTCAGTTTGTCAGCAAAATTTGAATAGAGTCAAGGCAGAATGTCTTTTTTAGCTTAAATCAAGAAAGTTAGTAATTCTGGTATTTCACACCTATACTCATTAGTCAAGGCAGAATGTCTTTTTTAGCTTAAATCAAGAAAGTTAGTAATTCTGATATTTCACACCTATACTCATTAAGTACTTTGGACATATATAGAAATGTGGCTATTAATTAAATCCCCTATTTTATACTAGACAACATTGGGAACATATCAGGCACTGTGCACTTAGCCCTCCTACTGTGTGGTCATTTCATTTGCTATGGTACTCACATTAAAGAGAAGGAAAGTAACTTGCCTTAAAATATGGTTTGATTTTTTAAAATTGACCATTTATTATTTGACTTAAAAATTCTTTCCATTTTAACTTTTTTTCACAAAAAGCTGGTTATTTGAATAGTTACACAATCCTATATACATGTACTCTAAAGTTATTCTAACATTATAGTTCTCCTTACTTGCACATAAATTTAAAATTTTTATATTTAAATGTATCAATATAAAGGTACATGAATATAAAGGTACATCTCCTTAAAATACAGTAATTTTACATTTCTAATCTGTAAGGACTGTGGATATTTTCATGAGGTAGTACTTTGAGCAAAGATGAGAATTGCTAGCAATATTATTGTAAAAAAATTAGCACCTAACATATCAGTGATTATCTTTAATTTTTATTATTAAATTCAGTGTATGTATGTGTGTGCTTGATGTGGGAATGTGCCCATGAGTGCAGGTGCCTGCTGATAACAGGGGTGAGCCCAGGTATGTCAGAGCTAGAGTAGAGGCTATAGATGTTTGCAAGCTCCCAAAATGGATTTGGGGAAACTAGCCTGGATCCACTGCAAGTGTGGTTTCTTAACCACTGAGCAATCCTCCTGCACCAATAATATAATTTAATTTTTTTAAAAAAAGATCCTCTTTGCAGTTAGTTAGACTACAATGTACCAATTTTTCCACTTTCTTTCATACTTTACCAAATGGCATTCTGGAGGTACTTGTCTTCACAATACAAACTATTCAATGACTTTTCGTGTGGAATGGGTTTCTGTGTATTTAAATTTGGTTTCTGCTGATAAAGTTGATTGTGCATTTCTTTTGGATAGTCAACTAGTCAGTCCTATAAAAGACAGTAGAATTAAGTCCAATGTACCTTTCTAGTTTTAATTTATATAGAATATACAGGTGTTTGATTGAATGACTTATAATATTTATAACAACATTAGTTGGAAATATAGTAATAAAAGTAGAGCATTAACTTTGGACACTTGATTAGGTAAACTTGACTAATCTTTATGAATATATTCACAAGAAGCTTATTAAAGGAAGTGCCTGAAAGTTGCAAATATGCATTAACTATGGAAAGATGTACAAGGTGCTCTGACACTTAAAACTGGTTTAATTTACCTCGCAAGCACGGAGAATGGGTAAGTATACACAAACTACTCTGAGACGCAGAACAACAGTTTGAGGAAGCACTAAATGGCCTGGAAAATATTGAACTAAATCATTTTTCAAGGCTTTTAAGGCATTGTTTGGGTTAAACCATGGCAGCAGACATTTTGTTGGACCCTCAGTAATTACACTTTATATTTTTAAAGAACAACCCACTGACCACACACAACACTCCAAGCCCGTGGAGGTTCAAATACATTTATGTAAGCATGACATCCAAGAAAATATCCACAAGCTCTAAAGAAGTGCTCAGAGCTAATGTGGGTCACGAAGAGTTTGTGGATGTTTTGGGTTCTATCCCCTTCTTGCTTTATATTTTATACTCTCTTTGTACCCTGACATACAAGTGACATTTGTCACTTACTATGCTTCCAATGGTCTCTCAGTGTATAGTTTCATCTTTCCTATTCTGTTGCATTCCTCCCTCATGATATCCATCTATCTTTGACTTGCCTTATGAGAGATTTTGCTTTGAGAGCATGTGCAATGCAGTTCACTTTGTCAAAGAAAAGAATGAAACTTTCAAAGTCTTCTTAATGTCAATAACAAGTGACTATATTTTGAATGAAAGAGAAAGTATCTGTTAATCTCCATGTCGGCATTGCAGACATATTCTGACCCAACATTGCTGACTACTCATATCCCTCTTTTACCTAAAGACTCCACATTCAGGAGAGTTCCTGAAGGAGGCAGGGGATTCTCCAAAGAAGCAGGAAAACTGAGAACTAAAAGCCTAGCCTATTCTCTATTTAATTCAACTCCCTAGGATTTTGAAATTTGTATCTCTGCCCTTTCTCTCACTAAGTATAATTATAACTGAATTTTACTATTCCACAGCCAAACTCCTTTTGGATATGCATAAACACAGAATTATTTTATTAATGATAGCCTGGATTTACTGAAT